AATTATTTAATCCAACAAATATACTGCTATACATCCAAATTTTTAAAGTCATCATCGAAGGATGGATATGCATTGGTTTGCAATGATGACCATATTTGAAAACGGGGACAGAGCCAGCAAGCCGACGTTGACTTGATAATCTGTCCCTGCTTCATTTAAAACCTTGTATAAATATTTTCCAAGGATAGGTGGAAGGATAACATATACATCGGAGTTCTTAAAGCCATCATCGAAGGACGGATATGCTTCGAATTGGTGGATTGGGTTGTAATGATAACCATGTTTGAAAACGGGGACAGAGCCAGGAAGCAGACGTTGACCTGTAACCGATAATTTGCTCCTAATTCATTTAAAATCTTGTGCAAATATTTTCCAAGGACAAATAGGGATACCATATAATCAACTGTACCATCATGAAAATTTCGTCACAATAGTAATATGACTACATTTGAAAAACTAATTTGGACCATGTACTTTTCAAGAAAAGTAATCTAGAGTCTAAGTAAGTCTAGATCGCAGCAAAATCTAGTTTTCGGTATTTTATGATGAAGATCGAAACAGGTAAAAGAGAATGAGCTATTTAATAAAAAGCAGTTCAGATATAAGGGCTCCCCTTATAAAGTATCCCGTCATAGGGAAATAAGATTTAATTCTTGGCATCTCGTAACGAAAACAAGTAAGAACCTTACCGTTGGGCAAGGCCAACAATTGAATGCTCTACGCCACTTCGGTTAATAAAATGATTCATTCACTTTTGTGACAGTGCATCGAAAATTGTTATTTATTTTTCTGTAAGCGCGTACTTTTGATAAGGGCCGGCATATATTTTAGTATTTTTCAAATGTTTCGGCCATGAGAAGATATAAATTAGGGTTTCTCCTCATGTAAGAGCTTACTTCTCAAACAGCAGAATTGTGAATGGGTCCATCGCACAAGGTTCGAAAAACCCCCTTCAATAGAATCCAAAGACTTTTAAAAACAAGGCACTATGTGGGGAGTAATTGAAAAGGTTATCCGATGCAATCCACTGTTGATATTAAATACACAATCCTCGTTCGAATCAAAAGTCATGGATGTGAAAAAAGTATTTAAGCCTGGGGGTCACTCCCTCATTTAAATTGCATTTAGATTCGCCAAGACGGCAGAACTCAATAAGCCTCCGGTCTAATACATATATGGCAGCTTTGTTGATAGACCCTTATGTTATCTGGCTATAACTAGCCTGCGAACGAAAATTGTCAGGGTTTCATGACCATTACTTTGCAAGTTGCAGTTTTTTTAATGAAGCTGTCTTTGAAAGCTTTCGACGTTTAATATCCACTCGGTTGACAGCTGCTTTGACTTCGGAGTGTAGTGATGAAAACGTGTGCTATCTACGGTCATATATCGCTTAAAAAATTCTAAATAACGCCTAAATAGCGCTATTAACCATCAACGTGTTGTTGTGAAAAGTATGCGCCATATACGCCGCCCACTTCGAGGAGAGCTGTCTAATTGGCGCATGTTCGCCGCAGAATAGAATACAGACTGCCCTCTTATATATTTAAGATATCAGGTGTCTCACACAACTTTTATTCTCAGTCTTTCGAAAAAATTTTGTGCACTTTTTTAAATTTTCTAGAACAACCCGCCTGTTTTAGGCGATCAGAGGATTCAACGTTCACGGTGATCATGCGACCTTGTTTGAAATTAGCAAACCACCCACAAATTTACCTCTTCGCCACACAGGAGTTACTGAAACACTTTTAATTTGACACCAAAAAATGGATTTATGCATAGTAGATAATTCTGCATGTCCAAGTCTCCGCAACCATAACAACCTACTGAATTCACACGGATTTGCATTCACAACATTAGAATAAATATTTATACTAACTTCATATAAATTTCCAGCAAATTTTGCGGCAGCAATTACATCGTTTTCTTTGGTTAATACAGCTCTTACTGCTGATAACAAATTAACGCGCGATTCGGGCACATACAATACATACTTAATTGTGACGGAGGCGCCTTTATTACTCACTTCTTCTATTTCCCCATTTTGACCTGTTAAGATGGTATGATCAGTCCTTACAATATTAATTTCAATAATTGCTTAAGATAACACCTCTCATTTGTCGTGTGATCGCCCGCAGGAGAAACCAACTGAAAGTCAAATTTGCTTCCACAATTTTTTCTTTTTCTTCTAATATCTACTTCTACCTGCTGTTTTTAATTATCGGAGTAAATCATCAAATTTCATGACTTGAGGTAAAGGACCTTAATTTACTTTAATCTTTAGTGTAATCAAATACTTTCCTGTTAATACTTAATTCACCAAACTCTACTTGGCAAAAACAGACCACAAACATTCCCACATTTCCTTTTTCGATTTAATATCAGGTACATATGACCATTCAAATATATGGAACTCTTTGTCTTCTGTTTTTCTTCAAAAATTGTTCTTTGATGCTCTCGTTAGTTGCTGATAAATGCATCTACGTATCCTAGAGGATCCAAACGCAGTTGTACCGTAAACTATCATTTATTAAATGTCACACCACTTTTTTCTTTTTACGATAAATTTATATTAATTCTTTCTCAGACCTGGAAATTTAAGAGAACTTTTGTTGCTCGGAATTTCATGGCATTTTTGATACATTTCGTTTGAAGACTGATCCTATCCGATAACCACTTGAGTCAGTCAAAAGTGTGACCACTGTTTGTCAGGTTGGAACCTATTGAGTGACGCGAACTACTATATAAGAAGTTTTGTAAAATATTTGTCGCCTAATTTTTTTTATTTTTCTCTCAAAACGTTTACATGCATTGGGAAGAGATTTTCTTTTAAGTTTGCTCTGTTTATTAAACAATAACTGTCGCAATATTTTATTGCAATGAATGTCGCAAACAAATGCCTAAGAACACATTACTTGTAGCATGCGATAAATTTTTTTCTGTCTCATGTTCTTTTTCAATTATTTCTTTCGTATAAGAGTTAGAACATTTCTTATACCGCCTGTCTGCCGAGATATACAACAAACATAGCTAATAAATAAATTTTTAAATCCTTTTTCAATGTATGCATCCTTTGAAATGTTCGTTTTAGGAAATTCATTATGAAATCAATGAAAAATGAAAGAACTAATATGGCGTCCTCACAACATTAATTTATATTTACTAATATGTATAATTATAAATTTGAAAGATTTATCTATAATTTCTATAGTAGTATACTTGTAATCACACTTACCAGCAGGCGATTGCAAGCATTTCGAGTTAAAACTTACAAACAACACGTTATTAAGAATTTCGAACACGAACATCTTTAGATGATTGCCTTACGATGTCTGCCTTATTGACATCTGGCATGTTCTTTTGGTTAAAATTCCGTGTTAGAGCACAGTCAAGAGTACAATTTATACTAAATATTAACTTTATGCCATCAATATTGTAGCTAACTGCTTTATGAGAGGTTTGAAGTACCTTAACGTACTTCCATCATATATGTAGCTCCAATAATTTTGTTTATTTTGTTTTTAAATTTGTTTTGTTTTATTTGCTATCAAAGATGTAATTTAACTTAAAAAAAAAAAAAAAAAAAACCAAAATGAGTTCATAACACTGTCGATTTAAGTAGAAATATTTTATTTCAGAATAATCTCTTCCTCCTATTTAAAGAATTTATTAATAAATCATTCTTATGCAATATTATTAAAATCAGTTTTCTACACAGAAGAACTTAACTATGTATGCATAAAATTTCTTTTCACTCTTTAAAATTATGTAAAGTTTTGTAAGAGAAGTATTTAATAGAATATTAAGGAAGCAAAAAATTGAACTATGAAAATAAATAAAAGATATTTTTCTCCTTCACGCAATACAAAAAATTTATAGAATTTCTATCAATACTTTGTTTACTCTTTAAAACTTTTTTTTTTTACATTTTTATATAAAGAATGCGACGAGCTAGAGATTTGCCCACAAGTTTGCCATATTCCATAATAGCGTTGCGGTCATCTTCGCCAGTGATCTATATGGAAAATATACGCGTATAAGTAAGCGAAAAATTAAAAAGTTTTCAATTTTAGTTTAAAAATTGAAACAAAATAGAAAAAGAAAAAGCGTACAAAAAATTGCATTCGGAAGGAAATCTTTTAAGAAAAAAAAAAAAAAACAAGAAACGGCAACAAAATATTTACATATACTTGTTCGCTCGTTGAAAGGACCAAAATTACCTCTTTATAAATTCTGCTCCTTAGGATGTCCAACATACGATCTAGTATCTGATTACTAGAAAACTTTATAACCGGTCGCAAATATTGTGTAGTTGTTGTTGTTAAAACACCCGTAAGGAGTAGAATATGAGCGTAGAAAGTGTGTGTTTGGTGAGTTTTCAAAACATGTGTAAAGAAAATATTCATTAATAGAAGAATAAAGTAGTGACGAGTGTTTTTAATTAAATAAAAATTTCGAATTGTAAACTGAGGAGTTATGCAAAATATAATTAATAAATATACAAGTAAAATATTCCGATTACAAATTTTTAATAACAAATTTCAATTTGGATCAAGACAACAAAAACAGACAAAGACAGACAAACTGACAATCACATAAAGATAAAGATAATCACTGATATACAAGTTTATGTCACAATGTGTTCATTGAAATAGTTATCACTAAATTGGAGTCTGTAAGGAATATAAAGAGCACCTAGGCTTATGTTGGAATGCCTTTAAACACTCCATGAGCTAGGCAGGCGGAACGGTGCGCATCTAATATGGTTGCCTGGCCATTCGGGTGTCGAGGGCAATGAAAGGGTTGACTGTCTAAACAATAGGTGGGCCCGGACGACTATGTTCGTCCCTGAAGCTTCTGCGCCGCCCCAAGAGGCCATAATAACAGGCTGATGGGCACAGAAGAAATCGTATTTCCGTTGGAAGCAATGTGCAGGACAGGCAGGCAAAAAAAATTCAAAAAATCTTCCGGGATGGCACATAAGCTACTGGTGCTAAGACGAAGCGATCTACGTTTAATCACGGGCTTCTACATGAGTCATAATTCCCTCAGGTATCATCTGAAAAACATGTGTATGTCCGATGTCGACTCATGCAGATTGTGCCAAGGGGCGAGGGAGACGTTCCAACATATTCTAAGTGAATGTGAGGCCATCTGCAGAATCAGACACTATGTGTTTGGCTTTGCGTACCGACGGACACGGTATGATGATCCGACCCATGGAAGGTGGTGAAATTTATAAAAGTCTCAAAACTGGAGGGCTACGGGCATGGGCGAATACAATAGATCTTCTAAGTCGCGGTACGGTTTGTCCACGCAGTTAGTAATAATAATAATGAAGAACAATTTAAGTGTCATCATGAGTGAATCACTTACGAACTTATATAAACTAATTTACGCTGTCAGGCAGAATGGAACTGCCCCTTTTCTAACTCCTTTCTCAATTGTGTTGATACGTTTGAATAAGTGACAAGGAGGAATATAGACCGAGCGAGAAAGAGATCGTAATGAAATTCCCCGAAAACTTGTTTTATGCAAATTTCAGATTTCCTGCAGTGTATTTCTAAATGCGATCAAGTAAGTGCCAAATTTTAGTTATAACAATAAAAACAACACATGTTCCCAAAATATATACAAATTATTTAAAGAGAGAAAATGCTTCCATATCAAAGGATAATATATAAAGCAGAAAGAAAGCTATACTTACCTGTATATAATCATTGTAAGTTATGCAAGTATTTTGATCGACTAATAATAAAACATTGTTGATGTCAGCTTCTACAAATTCATCAATATCTTTGGCAAGAACTTCAGGATTAAAACGCTGATATTTTTGAGCATTGAGTTTAGAGCGTATCTCTAGAGTAAGCAAATTGGAATGTGTATCTCTTATTATCAGAATAAACAGAACGTACCATCCGTTAGTAAATGCCATGTGAAGGCTTCTGGACACAACAAATATGAAGGACACAATTTACCCTTATAGCGCATTTTTGGACAGGAATGTATATAGAAACCCATATAATAATATCTTAGCGACGATACAGAGCTGGCAAGTTGTTGGACTAATTCGATTTCCCTAAAAAAAAAAAAAAAAAAAAAAAAAAACATTATAGAAATTTGTTTTGTAGGTAAACGGGTTTTCAGACCTTACCTCAATGAACTGTATGTACCCAAAGACAGAAAACTGTAATCAGGATCATAGAAAAAATAAACAGAACTGACACAATACGGTAAAATATCTAAGACTGCGACGGCAATCAATTGATCATCTAACCAATACTGCTGATGAAATGAACCGAAACCTATTGAAGGTCCATCTTCAGTTTTGCAATGCTGAAATGTATATGGACATAAGGAAATGACCGTTAAAACGAATTTGACATATCCATATCTCGGTCATATAACGCGATAAACGCGACTATTCTTTCATTACTAAGCAATAAATACTACATTTTAAATTCCTATTATGTTATACATTGTATGAATTCAGATATTAATTTACTTATCCAGCTGTTATCGTTATTTGTAAATCACCATTGGTATTGCAAATTTGAAAATTACAACGGACGGACAAATATATATCGCGGCCATTAATAACACTTCCTATATATGGGATCCCTGATGCCTATTTTTCGGATATAAAAAAAATTCAGCAAAATTCCTCGTCCACGTTTTTGCGATGGCTAGTAGAATAATGTGACATAATGAAGAAAATTATTAAAATCTTCCAAAGCTTTTGTCAACCTTTAATGGCGATCGCTGCAAGAATTCCAAATAGTCGTGAACATTGTTGGGTCGATCGTTATGAATTAATGTTTGATATTTTTCATAGAGCGCATAGCTTTGCTTTAATGTGTCCTCAAACTGCTTGCTCTTAACATGCGTTATATTAAGCTGCAAAGAAATTTTTTTTATTTTTTTTTTATTTTATGGAATTTACCTTTAAAGGGGAATTATAACAGAAGCGCTGCAAACGGTTTGGTGTTAAACGTTCTGGATTATCTTTGTGTACTGTTAACTGATATTTACAATATAAATCAAATGCTCTTTCCGTATAATTATTTTTAGTCGACGGTACCAATACAATCTGTAAAACAAACAAACGTTTTCTTGTGTTTTCCAAAACCAATAATAATTTGCAGGCCTTTGTTATAAATCTTTGTAGTTTTATTTTCCCTTTTTCTTTTTTTTTTCGTTACACTTACTCTCAGTTTATGCCTATCTGCGTTAGTTACATCATCGATGAAATCTCTCAATGATTTTTCAGGATTCTTGGGACATTTTCTTGTTTTTGTCATTCCTGCTTCAGGTGAAACGCATTTTGCTGCTTGTTTGGCAAGGCTACGTTCTAAACGCATTTGTTTCGCTTTTTTGCAGGGAAGATTGACACCGTCACAAGCTAAATGACATTAAATAATTGAGAAAAAAAAAAGTGAAGGAAGAGTTCTGTTTATATTTTTTACTGTTCTGTGATCTATCCGTGTCTTTAGCCGGATCATTGCTCTTCGCTTCAGACTTTTCGTATAGGGTTCTTGCAACTTTCTCCTCGCCTGTCAGACGTTTTTGTCTATTTTTGTTGGCTTTACCGGCTGCTTCTAAATTTATATTCTTAACCGGTATATTGGGTCTATGAATTTCATCTCCAATGCCACCTCGGGCGCCATCTTCTCCTGACTGACCTTCATCACCTTCGCCCTCATTGTTTATTGTTGGTGTCCCTCCAATCTCTGATCGTTCCTTCTTACCATCACGTAGAAAACGTGTCATACGTTTTAATATTTTTTTATGTGATTTCGTTAACTTAAATTCTAAAGCATCACATCTAAAACAAAATTATTTTTTTTAATTTTCATCTTATCGACAGAATTTTACTTTTCATACTTTATGGTGTAACAAGGGCAGCAGGTCATTTTATTATCTTGCTTATAACAATAATGGCCACTGCGTCTCCAGCCTCGATCAATTAAATCCTGATAGTCATGCGGTGTCATCTGGTATGTGTGCATACCTGAAAAACAAAAAAATTAAAAGATATGAAAAGATCTTCAGATAATTGACAAATGTCCGATATAAATCGCACATAAGTCTTTTTCTCATTTTCTTATGTTTCATATGCTAGTTCTATGAGAATATAAAGCAGAGAGGTTTTTCTAACGTCCATTTCGTCTAATTATTTTTTTCGTAAGACCGTCTGTTCATGCATTAATTCTTGTACGTCCATCCGTCCTTTACGCATGTATGATTACAGTTCAAGCTTTAAAATGAAAATGATTAAATTTTGTTGGAAATTAATACTAGGCTAAGAGTAATCGAGAATTGGTAACTTGGTTATTCCGTTTTTCACGCATTTTAAATTAGAGTAATTTTTTAGTTTAGTTACTTGGGAGCTGCCAGAATTCTCCTTCTCCAAGCTGTGAAATCTTTAATATTCCGCTAAATATTGAGTAATTTCCTCTAAATAATTTTGAAATGTGGTTTAACTGGCTTACGAGAGCTAAACAAGGAAATTTGAAATATATGCAAACATTTTACTGCATAGAAAAATTCACTTTTTCGTTTCGATTTTTATGCTGGATTCTATTATTGGCTATACCACAAAAGGGTGTAATTTCTATAAACATAGCAGATGAAAAACGTATATGTTTATATTAATATACATATATGCGTATTATTTATAAATATTGTCCGAAAGAACCATCAATGTGAAGGTCAGTTGTTTGTTCAACTTTTAAATCAAGTTGTCT